AAATGTTTTATCATAATGTGTTTCTCTTAGTTGGTTTTAGCTGTAATGCTATATATACACTCTCGCGCGAGCCGAGACCGAGATACATTGACGTTATTAAAGAAGAGTTGTAGTCCTTCTCGCATTATAAGACTGTAATGTACCTCAACCTTGTGTCCGCTCGCGCGAGAGTGTGAATGTAGCATTAGATATAAATAATACCTACCTAGTTACTTAAGTACTTAACTATTTACTAATAGTTTACTAATTGAGCTACTTGTTAGTAAAATTAATCCTATTTTAAGTAAAATAAATTCTTCTGTTATTTAGATAAGATAATGAAATTATTTAGCTGTTCCTGTCGTTTAGTTAGCGTTGCGTGGCACGTGTGTGTTTGTATACAGATAAGAAAATAAGTATGTGCATTCACTGTTTCTATTTGTTATACTGAAAAGGATTTGATTACTCCGTCAATGATCTATATCTATACATATAATAAAATCGTAGGAAAGTGCAAACTGTACATTGATTATTTTTTTAAAAGAATTCCTGCGATGTGATCTTCAAACGGCACCGAAGCTAAGAATATGGTTTACAGAATTTTTGGCTGCTTGTGTTTGTCTGTATGTATGTCCAGGCTAAACTCAAAAAGTCCTACATGGATTTAATTCAAATTTTTCGAGAATATTATTAACAGTTAACATATTATAGGCTACATATTATCACGCTATCATCTACGGGGAGGAGCTGTAAATCACTATTCCACGCGAACGAAGTCGCGGGCAACAGCTAGTGATTTATAAGTCTACAATTCGACATCCTGATAGTTTTGACTTTTTCAATTAAGTCAGAAATTCCCCAATGTACGTTATCATTCTATTGTCCCATTTCCACGCTTCTAAACCTAACATACATCTTACAACGAACCATTAGCTAGCGATAAAGACAACATGAATTCAAAAAATTGCGTCCTACAACATCTTTATTCCAACAGCACGAAGGTCAAAATTGCATTAGCTCAGCAGTTCTTATGCAATTTGTATAATCTCTCTTACAGACTGTCGTTAACACATTCCGGTAAATAGTTTTCATGGGATGATGGAGCTTATTAAGGGGGGTTTAGGGGCTATTATCCCTTGGTAGATGTAGTGAATATGTGTGGAATGGCATCAGCATCATAAATGAGGGAATTAAGTGACGTGGAAACGTTATGTATTAGTTGAGCAGTGACGAGTGATTGTGGATAGTTGTCACTCGTCATTCCCATTCCTTTTACTCTGATAGCTCTTTGTTCTGCTATGGTCGTTGGAAGGTATCGCGAGGTGAATTTCCAAAGATTCGTAAAAATGACTAAATGACTCACTTAATTAGTAATTACTTAGGTTCCATTGTTATTGTATCAGAAACGGTTTTTGGAAAGTATTTGGACAGACAATGCATATTATAATCGTGAAGATCAAAGAAGTTTCTCCCGAATTTCTCAAATACGGCGAGGTCTATTTCTTAGTAGTGATTGATTCTGGAATGAAAATTATAATACCTAACGATTACAAACCTCACTTTCAACTTCCAATTTAAAAATTAGATCAAAATAATTGAGAACTGTAAATAGATTATATTCAAAGTAATGTCTACATGACTGCCTCGTTCGCCAAGTGTTCGCAAGTGCGACTACCGGACAAGGGGGTCTTGGGTTCGATTCCCGGGTTGGGCAAAGTATTTCTGGGTTTTTAAAAAAAATCTCAGTGGTAAGCACGGAGTCTGGAATTGTGCCTGGTATATGACAATAGGTTGACCCCCTATTACATGAGACCGATAACATAAATAGTGAAAAGTGATGTTACATTGTACAGTGGCATTTAAATGCCATACTAATTATGCACCTCTGCCTACCGCTCCGGGGATAAAAGGCGTGATGTTATGTTATGTAATGTTTAGATGTCATACTTGCAGTCACTCAAATTCCTTCATATTAATATAAAAAGATATCATTATTATTATTTCGACCGTGAATATATATTTACTTTGAAGTATATTACCGTTCAGTGGGTTTTTTAGTCAATACCATCAGATTATGGTAAGTCGCGCCTAGATTTATGTTCAGGAAGCGTTAACATTCACTACCCAATTCCAGCTTTATTTGAAGGAAAAGACGTAATATTTCGATACGATATCTTATATGATTTGTTGACGATATCTGAAATATTATTACCGAACATTTATATTCAGTGTTTACTAGAAATTTGTTGGAATAGTATTTTTATTATCCTCTCATTCAGTAAAGGTCTTCAATACACTCACTTTGTGACTATATCTAGACGTTATTTTAGGGTATCTGTGTCTCTTAGACATCTAATCTGTTTCGCTCAAAAATGTAAGTCAAGACTTGACAATATCGTTGTATTTGCTCTCACTTAACTAACGTAGCAACAATACTCTGCGTTTTTCTTTGTTGGACAAACGATTAATAATAATTAATACAATTAGTTAGGTACGTACATTTACTAATCACCAGCTTGTACAAAGATAACTCGGCCGTAACATTGTTGATCGTCCGCTAGTCACTGGCGTAACAAATATGGATTTGCACTGATTCCTCGAACTCACTCGACTTCACTTACGATTCTATCTACTAAGCTGGGAAAGACACTTAATAACCGGTGTTTTTGTTTGGCGTTTTCCAAATTTTCAGTCGTAGTTTGGACTTATTCATGGTGGTGACGGCATATTTGTTACTTCCCCAAGTCAAAGAACTAAGACGCGTTGCGTCATCGTGGCCTGCGACCAAGACTTACCGTGGTAGTCGACTAAGGGACTACATATTTAACAAAGATCGGACAGTACTTTTCTCTCATGAAGCCTTATCAATTTAAATTGTAATATCCCACCCGTTTGCCAAGCGATGTATATTATGACAAATCCCCTTTTTTGTGGAGAAAGTCTATAGACTTCCACCAGCTGTTGTTGATGATGACTATGAATCTGAATTTTCGCCTAGTTACTTTTTTATTTAATTCCTTTTTGTTCTTGTCCGGTCTTTGGGCAATAAAAGGCGTAATTTTAGGTTACATTAATGTTAGGTACTAACTCGTATCACCTAAGGATAATGCCAATATAATCAACATGGCAAGTCAATTATCGTACATGTTTTTGTCTCGTATGACGCATTGTAGTCAAACTCTAAGGAAAAAATATAATGATTCATTCATTGACCATTTGAATTCATTCAGAATATGGGCATTTAATGTTATCGTAGTTATAATGTGGGTGAGCAATCCTTCTTACACGTGAGACGAGTAATCATGGAACAAACAAAGTGATATGCAAACTGTGTATTTGTTTTAGATGTTATCTTGAACTTGACGTAATTGTCACTACCTGTGTTGAACTGGTTTGTTTAGAAACACACATAACAATACAATAGTAATCAATGTAATCTAAGTGGGAGATGAAACGTTCGATAGAAAAATATTGTTAGGTTTAAAAGGTATATCCATAGATATTTGTTTCCATTATCGTAATTTTAATTTCTTTTTTGTATAAAACTAAGACTTAAGATATACTTACTATAACTATAAAGCCTAGCCTGGTGTTAAACGATGTAAACATGTAATTATCGTGTGGAGATACAGACTTAAAATCTACACTAGCGCCACCGATAATACCTCTACCAAATCTCTATAGAATAGCAATTTGATTATATCATTTCACAAAGCACTTGATGTTAGATATACCTACATTATACTAGATAAAATATCTAATAGCACATCGAACTACTTTCATCGTTTATATTTTTGGTCAATAGGCTGTTTGAGTTCTTGTCAAGGAAAACATTATATATAAGCGTCGGCTGGATCACTTCCCACGCGCTGAGAGCCATTATAAACAGTGTTTGTTTGTGGGCGACGACTTGACAGGAGGTAATCAATCTATTACTGTGTTCGGGGCTCCGAGCCTAGACAAAACATTTTGATAGAATTACAAGATCCAAAACGGCTGTCATCCTTACAGGCTTTTGTACTTTGTTGTCATATTGAGCCGGTTTTAGGTCTCAGCTGTGTTTTATCAGGGTCCCTACAGAACTGTGTTGGACAAAATAGTTTCGTCTTCTAATCTGTATCAAAATCCTCGACTGTACGTGGGTGGTTTACTTAATCTCTTTTCAGGGTTTCGTGCCCTATGGTTACCAATTGGACCTTATTACTAATGCTTTGGTGTCCAGTTGTCCGTCTGTTAGCCAGAGAAATCTTTTGTGACAATTTTTTTTTTATGTTTTTGCCTGAAGATTCTGTGTTCAAAACTGACTTTATTTATAAAGTTTTGTTCTCATTGACACGTGTTTTATCTAAGCTTACTTCTTTTATCATCCCGGCTGGTATGTTTCAAATCTTATCACATCCACTAAGACTAAAGTTAAACTTAAATGTTTTGGTTCATTTGGAAATCCTTTAAATTACATTATTTGGGTTTATCCATTAGCATTCGAAAACGTATCCTTTAGTTTATCAAAACAATTACTTAACTGAATTCATAATGTATATACGTAACTATGTAGTGAGTTAGTTCACGGTATGTGTAGCGAATTGATTTTAATGGTTCGTGTTAGTTGCAAATTGTATGGGCGAGTCCATTGTGAGTCTTGCATTAGGACGATGTAAGTTTACATTGCTGATGTGAAGTAACTGTACAATGTACTTAGTGCTTGTTTTCTTATAGCGATGTTAACAATTATTATATGACGTCACTATCATTGTTCGCCAAAAATGTAAAACTATGTAACTGGAGAATTGTATTGTAAACCTGATTGAAAAAGAGTAACCTATGGAGATTTTTTGCTCGTTCTTCTCCAAATCAATTTACACACATCTTGGAATGAGCAAAAAGGTTCACTTTTAATTTTTTTAATTGAAATAAAAGATTTTGATTTTGACTTTGACTTTGAAGGTACAGTGCAAAGGATAGGTGAATCTAACCTTTGCACTGTACTAAGGTTGCATACTTATTCTTATCTCATGGTTTACCTGGTGAATTTGCTCTCGAGTACCTGCAACAATTAATAGAAATACTTATTAACATATTGTCTGAGGTGGGGATTTAAATTCGTTGCTTAATTTATGATGCTTATAAACGAGTTAATACGAATTTTATTTACATCCTAAAAGTAATTTAGTACATCAAATACCATCGCCAAATCATATCAGTTTTTTTGTCATGTCATAAAACAATTGAAGGCATTCAATATTCTACGTTATTATGTGGATAATAAGAAGGAAAATTGCAAAACACAATTCCATTTCATTTCCGAAAACATTGCGATTTCGGGTTCATAGAACTCTTTGCACTCGGAAGAGAATTTATCATAATTTTTTATCCCAAAATAAACATGCTTATCAATCAACAAGCGCCACACCTCATACCGTAGCTTTGCTAACAAACTTCAACAGATTCTCAACTTGATATATAAAGTAATAAGGTTCAAAGCTGTTTGATGGAACTACATAAAATGGTATAGCTTCATGTGCTGGTTACCTATACTCGAGAAATTAGGAAACTCGGACAGATCCATCAATGTTATTTAATAATGTGTCGAATTTTCCAAGAAGTTTTTACATAGACATTACATTATTTATGTGCGAACGATGATAGAGTCGAATATGAGTTGATCATGTGATGACAGATGTGTCATAAGATGAATGGGGAAGATGGTGATCATCTTAATGGAATATAACTAGGATTGTTTTAAGTACTCGGTAGCAAAATTAAAACTTCCTTGTGCGTACTGCTAAGGAGTAGAATTCTTTGCCAGTCTCTGTATTTCCTGAAGGGTGTCTTCAAGGCCCGAGTGAATAGGTTGCTTATTGGAAGACGTGCTCCATCTTAGACCGCATTATCGCTAACCACCAGGCGAGATAGTGGTCAAACGTCGGTACATAGATTAAAAGAAAAAATACGGCGGATTAAAAATTATGACATTTTATTAAGTTTTTAAACTGCCAATAGAAAACTGTTTAAAGCAAATCCTTCTTAACCCCCTTAGAAATATATTGTCCGATGACCTAGATCAGAAATTCAATAAATGAAGCATTCTGTTAAAATAAAACAATGCGTAGGTACATTACATTATAACATTACACCTTTTATCCCCGAAGGGTTGGGCAGAGATGTTCATTACGGCACTTAATGTACTGTACAATGTATGTAACACCCACTTTACACTATTTATGTTATGAGTCTCATGTAGTAGGGAGTGAGCCTATTACCATATACCGATGCTACTACTGATTTTTTTTTAAAAACACTGCAACACTTTGCCCAATCCGTAATTAAACCCAGGACCTCAGCAATCGCATTAGACAGACTACTCGGCCAACGAGGCTATGTGTACAACGCGTACACATAAATGGAATGGAAATCGAAACAAATATATTATAAATAACCAATATAATTAAAAAATAACTATTTGTCAGTAAGTGCAAAATTAATCCTACGTAGATATGAAGTTTAAATGTCATGTTTGCGAGGGTTTTAAATAAAGTTTACACAGTAAACATGACTATATTACCACCAATTTTTTTTACAGGCAGTAGCTTTGGTGTTCTCTATTTAATATTCTTTTACACAATTTATATATATTCTTATACAAAGATAGTATTTATTTTGCCAAATTACTATTTACAGTTCATTAAATGATACAAAGTGGTTGATGGAATAACTTGTAGTTATTACAATAACCTATTTATATCTTTTTCATCTAATTAGGGTATAAGCAGACTTAACACTATTATTATGTTACTGACGGTTAGCACGGTGGCTGGGCAACTGGCTGCCGCGCAACGTATAGCGGGTTCGATTTCCGCAAGGAGCAATTATTTGTGATGCACAAATTGTTGTTTTGGGCCTGAGTGTCATGTGTATGTGAACTTGTATGTTTGTAAACGTACCCACGAAACAGGAAAAAATCATGGTGTGGTATAAAGCTTATAATTAAAAAAAAAATTAAGTCTAGAAACACAAATACATGTAGCTAAACTTATATAATAATTAAGACTAATTTACCTTTTTCAATAGCTTCTAATGCAATGCAATGATAAACGAGTAGCAGAATTATAAAAATCATTTCACTACTCCTACTACTGTGAAAGGAAAAAGGAAAACATAGAAACTGAATGACGATGTAGGGAAAATAGGTCTTGGGCATACGACCTAGGTATACGGACTACGTGTCACGTTACACGTGTCGGAAATTAAAATTCACTACGGTATGCAAAACTCATGCCATGGATCCATTTCAGGTTTTCCCATGCGCTAGAAATAGAAAGAGGTTTTGTGTGTTGATTGTTTGTTTTGGTGCAAATGAGCGGTAATACGATGGAATCATAACATAACATCACGCCTTTTATCCCCGAAGGGGTAGGCAGAGGTGCACATTACAATGTAACACCCACTTTTCAATATTTATGTTATGAGTCCCATGTAATAGGGGGTGAGCCATGCCATGTACCGGGCACAATTCCAGACTCCGTGCTACTACTGAGAATTTTTTTAAAAACCCAGTAATACTTTGCCCGACCTGGGAATCGAACCCGAGACCTCTTGCCCGGCAATCGCACTTGCAACCACTCTGCCAACGATGGAATCAATCGACCGATTTTTTTTTTATGGCATAAGCCGGTAAACGAGCAGACGGATCACCTGATGGTAAGCAATCGCCGTCGCCCATGGACACCTGGAACGCCAGGGGTGTTACAAGTGCGTTACCAGCCTTTTTTGGGATTAGAAATTTGAGGATTGAGGAAATTTGGCAGAGGGGGGAAAGGTAATTGGCCCTCCGGTAACCTCAGTCACACGACGAAACACGACGTAAGCGTTGTTTTACGTCGGTTTTCTGTGAAGCTGTGGTGAAAAGAATTAGTAAAAAAATATTTACGTAGCTAATTTTGTAGTGATGAATTTGTGTGAAATATTTAAATTAAACTGTCAAACACCAAGCGGTCACCGGTGACCGCAACCTATTGTTCTATAATTGTGTCTACAAAACCGGTACTCGACGAGTTAATTAACAAATCCATACAAAGCATGAATGGAGTAAAGTTTAAGGAAATAGGTTAGCGTATAAGTATTTGTTAGCTTATACATTATAAAGCAAACATCAAACGGAGACAAGAATTTCGTTTGCGGATCCCTCGCATGGAAAATTCATGTTTCCGAATATTGTTCCGTTTCTAAGTAACGCTGATACTTTAATGTACCATGTAAATTGTTTCATACTCGAGGGGAAACAGCCCTTTAATAATTATACCTACCGAGTTTCAATAACTTTAAGTTGCTCAAGTGTCTCCCAAAACGTTGTTACTGTTCTGTTTACTCAGATCTCCTGTGTATTGGAGGTAAGCGTTTTATTCAAGTTGAATATTTTATTGGTTCCTGTATCCTAAAACAGACGCGTTTTTGCCTGTAACACATCTTTTAAGGAGAATTCTAGAAACGCGTCTATAAGACGATTTGATATTCAGTTTCGAAGATAACAGATTTTTCTAGAAGCATCAATATTTCGCAGTCATATTACTTATATTTAGCCCCAGGAGGCTTAGAAATTCAAAATCGAAATATCTGATACGTGGTCTGCATCGTATATGGTTTCAAACAAATCTCTAGATGTATTGGAGTGAGTTTGCTTCGTAAATAAAAACTGATGGAGTATTCCATAAGTATGGTAACTACCTCTATAGTGGTTTCGAACATACATCTTGAGTTTAAACGCATTATTGTTTTGAAATTAGTAATTGTATTAGTCTGTACCTAACTATTTTTTTTTTTTTAATAAAATACAGTAATCACATCATCGTCTTATAAGGAGTAGGTTTGAGCTTTAATCACCACGCTTGCTCAAGGCAGATTGGCGATAATAAAGTAATAAAGGTCCCGTATTAAAAAAGTTACAAAATAGGAAAAGCTTGGACCAACAAAATTTATAATTTACTAACGTTCTCAGGTAATTTGCTGATAGCTCACACTCTTACTCAGAGGTCACAGGGCTGTATCAAAACTATTATATACCCTCTTTAACATGTCTCTACAGTTTGTAATTAATTCTAGTTAAGCATGTTAAAGGAACGTCCCATTTATCCGGTTCAGTGTCACCGTTTTCTGCTGAATTTTGAATACCTAGAAATACTAGGTAACTGGCTCTAAATGATTAATTGGTTGTTGGTCTGTGCCATAGAAGAAGTAGTTGTAAAATTAACTGGGCCCAACCAGACTCGGTTTTGCTTCCCGGTCAAAGAATGAAAGGTTTAAGGAAAGTTAGAGTTCAATGGCTGGAGAAAGTTCCACAAATTATTTTCCATTGTTACTGTAGCACTTAAGTCATTGGGGAACGCCTATGTTCAGCAGTAGACGTCTTATGTCTGATATGATGATCATGATAACTGTAGCACTTTTCTGAGCAGCGATTCCAAGAGAGCTGGTAGCTTCATAATCGCTAACTTTCGTAAAAGGACTTCTACTAATGACCAAATTGTACAGTGTAATGAACTGTGCACTAATTTATGATCAGTTCGTTTTGTAAGTGAAGTCGTTGGTTGAGTTTAGGGAGTGGGTGTAAACATTTCTATATAGTAGTCCCTACAGCTTATTGTCAAAAGTTACAGTTAGGTAAGTGATTCTTACGTTAATGTGTTCCGTAGTAAAGTGCACATTGTCCTAAATTGATCGCTGCGACGGAAAATCGTTCCATATCCATAATCATCATAACTAATATGATAATAAGTCTAATAAAAATAATGAATATACGTAAACTGTACAAAATCTTGCCATAGAAAGAAGAAAAATTGAGGAAAGATTTCGTCAGTAGGTAGATATAACAATGATTTATTGTTTTCTATAAAATGGAACAACGTATTGTGCTGGTGCATCAAACCGATGCAATGTACACGTCACGGTTTGTAGACAAACAGTAGCTGAGTTTTTGTTACTATGCAGTGATCGGATCGTGTTCCACTGGAATTGATATTAAATGGAGATACAGTTGTCATAGTGTATTTA